TCAGTCGGAAAGGATCGACCAGAGGTAGTTAGATAGGGCTGATCCGAACACATGTCAACGGGATGTAAGGTACATTATCTACAAATGACTGCTCATCCGGATTAAATGGAACTGTGACATCGAATCCGAATAATCCCAGTCATTCCAAGTCTATATAATGTACCGTGAGCAGACAAAATCGATGTTAAAGTCAGTGAGTAGACCAACATCTAATCCAAAAGGAATACTTGGTGCAATAAATAGCCAGTGATGTTCCATTATATAGTGATTTCTGTACACAAAGATTTGTTTGTAAGATATCGTTAATGAATTGGATATATATCTTAACGATATGAAATCAATACCCTATTAAAAGCTGATTGATTTTGCTTGATATAGTCTCCTTAATAAATTTTAATTTTCTTTTGTCCACGTCGGTCGTATATGTTTATATTCTTATTTTAATGAATGGAACAACTTTCTTTCTTATAAATTGTTAAATAATGTATGACCCAATTAAAATGTTCTAATCTGAGGTACACTTCAGTAATCCCGGAAAAATACACATACAATGGTCTAACAATAAAAACAACAAACTAGATATGTTTTTAATTCATTGATCTCAAATCTGAACCTAGACGAGAGGTCTTATATCCGGTGTCAATTTTCACAAGGACTTATTAATATTTACATGTATATGTCTATCTAATTCTCCGGATTCATAACACATGTTCCCTATTAGACTCGCTGATTATAGTACGCCTTAAGACAAATGCATATCGTCATCCATATTTAAGAGAAAAATGTTATTTATCATGCCATTCACCTTTTCATCTATCTAATTATTAGACTGTGTCTAGAAAGAGGTAGCCCTATGGAATACGTTGCTCATACCAAGACATTAGCTTATTCGTGAGCGCCCATAAAAGTGTACTTATGTCTCATTCTATCTGTACTTTTGGTGTTTTACGACGTGAAACCTCCGGCTAGACAAGCCACGGTAAATATCTGATGTGATGCTAGTAGAAGATTACCCCACAGGGGTTTGACTTTATAGCAGAATACGGGTAACCAGGGATATATCTGTCACTGTATGTTTTCTGTATATAATATACTTACATAGATTTTCGCGTGCTGCATGGTACTTTTATCCGATACTTTGATTCTCGTTCATAACACATTTTACTGCAAAATTCAGAACAGAAGATTTGGATGTAAATTAAAAAAATGTTACTATCTGTATTTGGCTCCTTTGATGAATTTGATAATATTTAAGTTACGATAAAAAACAACACTCATTCTCAAGTACTCTTGACTGACTTTTATTAACATCATCATACATTGTATCAGCTGCTTTAGCCGCACGAAACAAGCTGCTGATGAGGGCCAACACTTTAATCTCGGTCAAAGGAAAACAACAAGGATCTCTTTTAGCGGAAAACAAATTGACTAACGAGTGTACCTATCATGAAAATAATGTGACATAACAGAAAAGGTCTTTATGGTATATTCTAGTCATCCGGATGAAGATCAACAACTTATGCCTGGTTTTATTTTTTTGTTTTTGATTCATATCCTCATCACAAAATACGAAAACAAAAGCCAAATACATATTTCAGAGACACTAGCGGAACACACTCAATAATTTCAGAAAATTACATCGTTTTAAGCTTCTAATCAGGAAAAGAAACCTTGTATTTACTTCTTCAGAAACATTCGCTCACTAACATAAATGATTTGATAAGAACACAATAATGAATATATATACACTTAATAAACTGTATAATTAGAGAGCAACTTATCAGAAAGAATATAATAAGAACATTGTTAACATGACAAATATACAAATTTTCACAACTTATAAGTTCTAACTTTTGTGAAGTGAGAGCACACATAACATTTACAAATATATGAGTTAAATGGCAACCATTTGAATATTCAAATGCACATTGGTATAATGACTGTACGAAAAAATCAAACATCCGGAATAAAAGTATTCATTAAACGTTTAAAGTTACTGAAACAAAATATTTAAATGAATACAAGAATTTCCAATCAAGACTTATGATGAAATGATTTGAAATTATAACTAAGCAACATAACACTTTGAAAATACATGCAAGATATTTGAGTTGCATTCCTGTCGCCTGCTGCTTTAAATACCTAATAAAAACACATACTGCAGTAAACAATACACATAGGAAATCTAGTACCATGAAATTATTCACACCGATAAAGCAGCATTGAAAAAAAGGTTCATGCGTAAGTTTCACCAAGGAAAACTTTGATCAAGTACACTAAATGAAATAATTTAGAAATATTCGCATCAGTTTGGTATGTTGTCCTGGCAGAAGTGCACAAACATCATGCATCAATCACAATGCATTTCCCAGAATACTTTCCGTATCATCAAAGAGAAGTTGATAGCTCCCTGAGGGTGCGAGAAATAGTTGCCAAACTGAAATTAGTTTTAAATTAGTTATTTCTTCTTCTTACTGAGAAAAATCACAGCGTTGGTATTTCATTTTGGAATGCTCTAGAGACGCAGATTTTAAACTATTAAAATTATTCTCCCGCGTCTATAAATGTAGAAAATATCATAGATCAAATGTCAGCATACATTGTAGCAAATAATGGGTATTTAACTGCAAAATACAAATAAAAAACCTGTCTTCTTCAAAATGGAAAAGCCAGAAATTTGATATTTCATTTGGAGCATGATTTAAGAAGAGTTGATTTTAAGTTGTTAAAATCAGGATCTTTCTGCCAAACTCCAGCTTAAAGGTAGAGGGGCATACCTATATATTATAGACTCGTGCTACCTTGTATTAATGATTTTGTTGTCAATTGTAATGAGTTATCTGAAACCAGGTGAGCAAAACAACCCTAATAGGTATCTTGTTATAGTTGCTTAAGTTATACAGAAACATACATTTAGATAAGGATTTTTATCTTTACTGGACCACAAAATTACGGTGTCAGACACACAAAATGGCTGATGTGAGTACATTTTCAAAGAAAACATTTTTATAATTTTTTAATGATATTTGATTTTTTCAATGTGCTTTTGCACCATTGTGTCATACGTTTTATGGAGAACAAGCAGAATTAGTAATGCTGTGAAGTACTTAGAAATACTTCCGTTATAGCGGAACAACTCTAACGGAATTCAAAGAATATCCTCAATAATTGATAAATACTCATTATTCATTTGTTTTAATTTCGAAAGAAATACAGAAAAAAGTATGATTACTTAAGATTTTTAAGAATTACTGTAAATAATTTATTATAGCGAATACTTATGCCGTGTTTATATCCTAACACTTTTGTGTTTATGTGTGTTATACCTGGAATATGTAACTTTAAAAACATGTAAATGTGTTCATAAACTTCAATGAACACTGTACTTATTTGTATATACATATTACGCATTATTTTAGTAATACATTCTGTATAAACTGTGTTATTCAAGTATTTTTGCTATATTACAGTCACAGGCAAGATGGTAATAATTAGTAATTAAATAATTAACAGCGACTGTTTTGAAATAAGGCGAACCATATAAAGATTTATAGTTAAAACATGTAAGCAAAATATACCGGTTGTTATGGAATTGGAACAAGGATATTAGGAGATACAAGTAAGTTGTTACCTTACTACTTCTGTGGCAAAAGTAATTACTGCTGGAAACAAAAATAACTATATATTGAATGATATCAAGACTTGTATCATGTACGTTAAATTATGTTTTGTAAAATAGTATTTATATGGCTAAGAAATTTACCTTTCTCACGGATATATGGTGAACTGTGTCAGACTTTGGATGACTAATATAGTACACTGTCGTTATTGTCTAAGATATTATTAATTAATTAATTATTATTAATAAATCCTTTTTTATTTGATATTACAATACAATATTTATTTATTTTTGAAAATCCTCATCAGTTCTATAACATATCATTTACTCTAAAAACAGGTAAAAGAATGATATTATATACAAAATTAAGACATTTGTTCTGAAGACATGTACTGTATATATTCGTTTGTTTGCAGGATATGATTGTAGAATTCTTGGACTTTCTCTTGGCTGATGTGAGTTTAGAATTTCTTTTGTTTTGATTTGAAAGAAGATTGATTGTATGTATCCGTGTTGACTATTTAGTTTACATAAAATGTTGTTTTAAATCCGATTCTGTTGAAGCAGTAAGACATCATGGTACAATGTTAATAACCTGACTTAAGCATTTTTGCTGCAATCTATCATAATTAAAAGGGGCCAAAAAAATCTAAAATATCTTCAATAATGTTCATGTTCTGAAACTCAAAATTACTGTTATCAAATATACATCGTTCGTGATATGAGAGGTAAAACGTCTCGTTGAACAACTATGTATTTACAAGAAGAGCTATTTTCTCGAATAGTGACACATGGACATGACGTTCTTTTGATATGACGCAATATTTATATTTCTGAAATATGTTGAATTATGTGTAATAATCACTTCATACACGTGTACTTGGCGTTGTTCTTAAATGATCCGATTAATGAAAATTACGAAAGTTTGTAAATTATAGGGCTCAATGATTAAATAATTACGCTTCAAGGATTGCTGACGAAAGTAAGAAGGACGAAACAGCTATATGATACAGTTTAATTAATTTTGGCCGCACTGTGTCTAATTCTACATTTGTATGGAAATGTGCTTTCCACTTGTGTGTCTTATGTGCATTTTTGTGGTAATGAAATATATGCTGCTCATCATGATAGCTTTGAAAAAGAAAGGAACAATTCTAAATATATTAATATCACCCATTCTCGCTAAAGAAAATCACGTTTTTCAAAACATCTTTTAAAAGATAATACAACAGGAACGTGTTAACTATATGAAGTTTTTTTACATAGTTAGCAGTAAACATTCACAATTATTGATATTGTCTATATACAATATAACATATACAATTCCTGGACAGCAACCAAAGAGTTTGCTATTGTCATCATCACAAGATTTTACCAAGGACACAATCATCAAAGCAAAAACGAAACAAACAGGACTTTTGAAACCGTTTTGGCATAAACAGAGTCTCGCTTATTTTGAGGCAGGAGTGATGACAAGGATAATCAATGTTGAAGAAAAAGTTCCCAGGAAAAATATCCAGAACAAAACTCTGTCCACAACTTGAGCAACCCTTCGCCAATCTTGCACCACCTCATAGTCTCTATCTTCTTTCTCATGCTTTTCGAGAATTCGTTTTAAAGCTTGTATAATTTCGTCGTGCGATTTATTATTAGAATGACCCCGTGTTAAGGGTGGGCGATGGTGACGCCTTATTGAGTCGCTGGAACCCGCATTAAAGCGACCGTCACCATTAAAGCGTCCGTCACTATGACGGTGATCGTGTATGGTGGTACCCTCTCGTTCAGTAACAACAGTATCCGCCATTCCGTTCTCCATCTGGATTTCATTTTGAAGTTCCTGGGCAATGTTGTCCAGAGTCACCTTTAAGGACATGGTTCGTATGAATTTTGACTCTCTTGGTGTAAGATAAGTGTTACATTTTTTATCGTCGTTAATGCAAAATATGGATTGCATTCTTCCCAAACAAAGGCTTCGAATCCATGGTGGAACTTCCACTCTGTTAGGGCCCCTGTGGTGTAGATTCAGCACAAATACAGTCATCATGACAGACAGGGACGTTAAGGTCATCACAATGGTCAGATATATACCTGAAAAGACAAAGATATTGTTAGGAAGAATATCATTATATACTGAAAAGTGAAGTTTTAGATCGAGATTAAGTTGCTCATTCATTGGAATTCTCGTCTGTCTGTAATATAGCCCAGCAACTAAAGGGATCGACTACTTCCCTCACTAAACCGCTTCATGTTCATATAAAACACCAAAATGTCCATGACTCAAAAACTTCCTTATATTCGCGCATATAAACACATCTCGTTTATAACTATATTAACTAAGGCAGGATCATTGCCCGCATGAGTTAGTTATCTTGTTCTAGCTTTACACAAACCTGCATTCCACGATAATACATACTAACAAGCTCATTAAAACTGTCTACAGCATGGACTCCAAACCAACCATTGTCAAATCGTAATTAGTATAGGATGTCTCACGCACGGATTTCGTGGACAGAATGGCGCTAGAGATGACATTCGCTACACATTCAATGTCTGCTTTATTCGACATTCCTTCTTAAACTCTACATAACGTGAAACTAATTAGAACAAGTCTTCCGTATGCTGTTTCCAACGTCTAAGCCATACATCTCTACACAATACACTCAGTTACGTTATGGACTATTTCTGTGTATATTTATGTGGGTTGCGTATATGTAGCTGATTGGCCTTGTTATACCCGTATATCATAGCCCATATAAATTTACTGTACAATATATATATATGGCTAAACGACAAAGTTTAGAATTACAGAGGAACCGTGCACATAGTAAAGTGAGAATATCATCATTTCAATAGTGTGTCGCTAATATCTTACGTTTATGAGATGCTTGTTAAATTTAGCACCAGGATAATCAGGCGTAAATATTGTTATCATTCAATTGGGATTGACGAATGCATAAAATTTACGAAATTATAGCAATATCGTTTTAATTTAGATTGTTCTTGATTTATCGTTGTACGCAGAGGTACTATTACGACAAATATAAAGCTTGGTTTTAGAGTTTGAATTCTTTGTGATTGCTTAAGTATAAATATCACTATTTGTAGCTAGTTCGTTTTCAGCATTTCAACTTATTTTATTCCATACCCCTATCATGTCAGCAAGGATCTTCTTTGTATAACGAACGCTACCATGTGTATTGATTAATTCTGAAACGTCATTATTATCTGAGAAATGATGAGTTCAATATTGCGCAGATATCAATCAATAACTTACATACTGTAACTTCAAATGGCAAATAATTATATTCAAACGTATTCCGTTTTGTTAAATGCTGGAGTGTTCCTTGGTGTTTGTTAATTAGCTTAACAAATCACTTACGCCATCTATATGGCACAATCGTTATCATTATTATTCATTGTGCGTGGAGAAATTCTCTTCATCAGCATTGCACCAGAACATCCATATAAATGACCGTATTGTATTTGAAATCGATTTCAAGCAACAAAACGTTATATAAGGAGTCACAGTTAGTGTTCACGACTTATAGACAGATAGAACTTGAAAAAAAGAAAGACATAAGTGTGGCTAAGGTAATTAGTTATAACAAGCAATAGCCGGGATCGAGGAGACAGAAAAAAGAGGGGGTATTTACAAATGTATATATGAAGTGAAATAAGATGGAAATCGGTAGGCGAAATATCCCTGCATGAAAATGACCGTAATACATGCACGTAAGGGAAGTTAAGGAAAATTTCCCCTTTATCGCAACTCTACGTGAATAATTAGGTTTCGTTTGTTGAGCTTTACCTGGTATAAAGATAAATTAAATAAATACGTCACGTTTAATTTCTGATATATATCATATACGGTGTCAGGTGTCAACCGGCATATTCCAAAAGTTTTACAGTACCTTACAGAAACAAATGGTGGTCTTGACCTGGCGTTTTGTAACTATGATAGCGATTGTCAAATCAGATTCACGTTTGAAATACACTGAGTGCTCAACTTATTAAGAGGGCTTCAGATAATTTCTCTTGTATGTCAGTAACGAAATTAATAGTTTTCTTGGGCCATAGATTATTAAGAGACCTTGTAATCCCTAGTAATTTCCTTTAAAGGTTTTTCATAACGTTTTGTAATTCAAATTACTTCTTCGTATCGATCGAATTCATAATGATTAAGACAAACAAAAATGACACCCCAAGTGTCAAGTTTAACCATGAGGATCAGATGTATACATGTGTAGATTTCTAAAGTTTAAGCAAAATACTTTAAAGATATTTTACCAAAAGAATCTTTCGGACAAAGAAAACACACTGTTTATTGACAATACCCGATACACAAGGGCATAGCAAACGACAGAACATTCATCATTTTAGTTATGTTTTTCAATACTTTTCAATTTTAATGTGAATGATTTTGCCTATAAATACTAAAATGGTATTCAATATATGCCAAATTTTAAAACTCTTATAAGACCATCAGCTTTGGGAAACTGTTAAAATCACACCATTATATTGTCGCATTAAGATAAGACGTCCTTTTCATTGACACTATATAATATATTCAGTCTCGGTAAAAAAATGATAACATGACCGACATCTCTAACTTTTAGAATAAAAAACCATAAAAAGTCTTTTCCTCAAATAGAAATTATTGTATTTCGTAAAACGATAGACCTTCAAAATGTGTTTGTCTTTAGAATGGTCTTCTGGAATTTTTTTCTCACTTTTCATCATTTAATCGATAATTAAAAATGAATAAAGCTAAGAAATGTGTATGAATAGAAATGAGTCGACAAGAAATACCGCTGTGTTACTATTCTATATCAGCTTTGTTGATCATTTTATGTTCGGGCACGACTTAGAGAAATGAAATAAACTTTGCAATTTGTAGACGCAATGAGTGACAATCCCCACGAGAGTATCAGCGTAAATTAGCCGGTGATGGAAGTGTTTCCGCAAGGCTCTCTCGGAGGGCAAAACAAATTTGAACAGGTTGAATGAAACAGAAGACGAGGAAGAACTTGAATGGAACTAGCTTTAGTTAATGGATATGACAAATTAACCTACTCACCAAAACACAGCACTATCATGTTTGGTCGCAGCTTTTTATATCGTGATTTTCTTTCATTTATATATATATAATGTATGATATTTTCATAATGAAATTGTTCTATGTGAGTTTTAATAAGGAAAATAGGTTTCTATTGGTCCTTTTACACTGACCGATTCCATAAATCACAAATACAACTCATGTCGAGGGACTTTAGAATAAGATATCCATGTCAATAACATCATATATCAAATATATATGTCATTTGAACACTATACTCTTCCAAATTCAAAGGTGTCGATAATATCTGATCATATGTATGTTCGGATCACCAAAAGTATCCTTTGTGAATCTTGTTGGTATGACCACAAGGAATAACCCCGTCTTAATTCGCCTCTCATACTGTTCCGATGATGTCAAATACTACTGAGGGCTTTACTTTGCAGTTTCTGTATCAATATGGCCTACACATTTAGCTTTGCGATGTCTGTTAGTCTTACTAAAGGGTATTGCTTTTTTTTATATCATTTTTTTTTGAACTAATGATTTATAATATCTATATATTTACAGATTAAACAGAAAAGTTTGATAAAGAAATGTGACCCTTGTTGAAATCCTACTTCGAATTATGTTGGAAAACGGAATTTCCATTGGCATCAATTAATTGGGCGTAGGGCTTAGGTGATACATTTAAACCTACATGTTTGTCTAGATGATCATGACGTGACATCAAATTTATTAGCCACTTATTTGTCATTTAAAAACCTAGATAAAAATTGTTAATCATTGTATTCAAAATTATATCATTAACATAGTGACTATATTTTACATCGTGTAATAAAAGCATCGAAGTGGCCATACGAGACATCTGACAATAGTATAACACAGACATCAAATATGTTATCGCCGGACGAATAAGTATTTACATCTAACAATAGTATAACAAAGACATCAAATATGTCATAGCCGGACGAATAAGTATTTACATCAGACAATGGTATAACACAGACATATGATCTGTTATCGCTGGACGAATAAGTATTTACATCTGACAATGGTATAACAAAGACATCAAATATGTTATCGCCGGACGAATAAGTATTTACATCTGACAATGGTATAACACAGACATATGATCTGTTATCGCCGGACGAATAAGTATTTACATCTGACAATGGTATAACACAGACATCAAATATGTTATCGCTATGTAAGCGTTAGGCAATGTGAAAATCACTGACATCTGTAAGCGTTCGGACGATGTGATAATCGCTGACATCTGTAAGCGTTCGGACGATGTGATAATCACTGACATCTGTAAGCGTTCGGACGATGTGATAATCACTGACATCTGTAAGCGTTCGGACGATGTGATAATCATTGAGATATGTAAGCGTTCGGACGATGTGATAATCACTGACATCTGTAAGCGTTCGGACGATGTGATAATATCACTGACATCTGTAAGCGTTCGGACGATGTGATAATCATTAAGATCTGAAAGCGTTCGGACGATGTGATAATCACTGACATCTGTAAGCGTTCGGACGATGGGATAATCACTGACATCTTTAAGCGTTCGGACGATGTGATAATCACTGACATCTTTAAGCGTTCGGACGACGTGATAATCATTGAAATATGTAAGCGTTCGGACGACGTGATAATCACTGCCATCTGTAAGCGTTTCTTATCAGAAATTACAGTGAAACGTTCAATTGACAAGCGTGCCCCTTGTACAACTACGTGCGACAACGATTGCACTAAATTGTTTTACTAATCGATACTGTCAACACCTATGGATTCATTGAATATACACATATACATTGAGCATGGACTCCCATATAACCATGACAACAGTGTGAGTGACAAAATATTCCAATAACAACTATTACTGTAATGTCTTACACATAACAGTATACATTGAATATATCATTTTGGAACGAATTATTAATATAATTTAAACATATATGGATTTTGTACGGGCATATCTGTCCTATAGACACAAAAGAGAGTTATAATATGTAATAAA